TGTGAAAATTAGCTAAATGTTGATTCATCAGACCATACAACTTTCTTCCATTTTGCAATTGTCCAATCTTCTCGTTCCAATGTCTAAGACAATCTTTTTCTTTATTATTTTCAGAAATTAATGGTTTAGAGCGGGCAACACACGAATGTAAGCTGACTTTTTTAAGAGTCTGACAAATTGTAACAGTTGAAACTTTCTTTTTTTTTTTTAGTCCATAATTCTTGAATTTTTTGAGTGGTAAGGCAACGATGCTTCGAATTTTGTATAACAATCTTTTTGAGTGAAGATTGTGCATTTGAATTAAAAAGTGGCTTTGGACCACAACGTTTTTTTGGTATTGCAGAACTAGTCTCTTTAAAATGTTTTATCGCATCAGGACAGTTGTTTTACCACATTATACAATATTAGCAATTTTTTGATATGAATCACCTCGTTTGTAGCCGTAAAGAATTGCCCCATATTGTTCAGCATTCAATTCTTTTATTTTAACCATTTTTGTTTGAAAGAAAATTATTTGTTATTATTGAGATTGACATCCATTTATATTCTAAACAAATGCTTAAATTAGAAATAAGTGTAAACATGTAAACAAAGCGAATAAACAAAAAAATACTTATTGTTCGGGTACCTGTGATCACCCTCTATATATAGTCACTTTACACTATAGTCCCACTTTTTATTTTTGGTCTCGAGGGGTGTGACAGTAGAGAAGGTCAACTGTATTAACTGTATTACAATTGATGAATCAATTATGGAACTAGTAAATAAATATTTGTTAAGTATTACAAAGTATTACAAGATTTAAATAGTATTTTATTATACAGTTAAACCATAATATAGCAAACCTTTGATATAGTGAATTTTTAAATCAAATATATTAAATATACTTTACTATAATAAACCAGTTAATTAAATTCTTAAAAAATTCATTATAAACTTATAATAATTCGTTATATTAAGAGTTCAATATATAAAGTAATATTAATTTTTTTTTTTATTTTTAGTGAAGGATTAAGAAGAAAAAGATTTGAAAAATCTAGATGATGAGAATAAAAATCAAAATGAAAATGATTGTGCTAGAGTTTACTCGTAAAAAATCTGAAAAGTTTCAATATATATTATCTTATTACATTGAACTCTTATCACAAATCCTAGATTCTGAATCTTAAATTTGATATAAACTTATAATAAAAGTTTTTAAAAATTTAATTGGCTGGTTTAAAAATTCACTATATTAAAGGTTTGATATATCTATATAATTGTAAGTTTACTTTTTACAAAAATATTGATATTCCTTTGAAGGTTAGTGATTATTATTATTATATAATCCCAAATGATGATGATTGCTGGTTTATGAAGAAAAAATATAGCATTCACGTGCATTATCAATTATATATGGTTGGTATCTGCGCTAGTTTGATGATGTCATACGAAGGTGTAAGTAGTCTTCGGAGTATCAAAAAATCAAAACAGGAAGAATCGCTCACTAAGAGAGGAACTTGCGTATGTTAAAAACCAATCTTAAAAATAGCAAGGCTTTGTTTGTACACACGCCAGTTCCATAAATTTTAAAGAAGAAAAGCACTTCAGATTTATTGTGACATGTTCCACTTGCTATGTTTATTATTATGTTATTAAATTATAAAACTTTTCAAATTATTCAAATAATAAAAAGAACGCTCCTTAATGTGAACAATTATTCAAAATAGTTATTCATAGTGTGGTATCGACTTCATTAAAATAAAAATAAATTCTTTTCCAAATATTTAACACATACAGAACTATACAAAAAAAAGGAATGGATCAACCAAAAAAAAAAACTGATGACAATAACAAATCGCTTTTTAAACTGACATATATATATAAAAAGTATTGAAAAAATTTACAAGGTTGAGATAAAAATTATAAAAAAAAGAAAAGGGAGAAAGGTGTCAAAAAAAAAAAAAAAAAAAAGTTTGATTTAAAAAATCTTTTTGTCTTCCCTTCCTTTTTTGTCTATAAATGCTACTTTTTAAATATAATATAAGTGGTGGCATTTAGCCAATATAATAAAAATAAACAATGAAATATCTACGATAATAAATATACCTTTTTTTTTAAAAAAAAAAATATGGTTAAAAAAAAATTTTTTAAAAAAGAATCTCTTTATGAAATATTGGCATAAAATTTTGTACGAATCATCCATCTCTAATAATATATTACTACTTATTATAATGCTCTATCAAATTATCAAATTAAATAATAATTTTTTATCATTTTTTTTGACTCTCGATCCTACTATTATTACCATTAACATAATTCGTTATCGGTAAACTACCGCTTCTGGAAAGATTTCCTGTGTTTCTTAGCGAATCCATAGTTGAGGATGATGATATTATGCTTATAGCTTCCGTGTCCGGTCTGTCCCATACCCTTGAATTAAATGCACCACTATTACTCAATCTGACGGACCTTGTACCAAGTGTTAATGGATTTGAAGATCTCCAGGATCCTATACCATCATTAAAGGTTTTCCCTAGCTTTAGTAATGATGGAAAGGGATCCGTTCCATCATCTTCATATTCCTCTTGCATATCTTCAAACGTACTTGTAGGTGTTTCTTGGGAACTATTGACATAATTTGTCGAAGAACTACCAGATGATCTGTTATTTGATATTAGTGACGAAGGACTACGTAATGGAGACGTAGGTCTACGTGAATTATAACGATCGGTTGACATTCTGCTTGTTCTCATATGACTTAATCCAGGTGGTGAGCGTGAACGATATTGTAGTAACGTTGGTGATGTTGGTGCGGAAGCTGTTTGGCGCGGATTTATTTGAATATGTCGTATTTGCGGTGAAGATGATCGTTTGATAGTAACTTCTTCATCTTTATCTTCATAATCTCTTAAAGGATTATAATGGGGTGGAATTCTCCTTGGTGCAGGCGATAGTCCTCCCCAAATTGGAATAGCTATTGGTTTATCTGGTGGATCATTATTACTTTGCGGTGATAAAGTTTCAGAAGGTTCTATAGCTATAGCGGTACTTGATGAATAAATTGATGTTGAAGACATTGACGAATTATGAGTATGTAGATTTGTATTTTGATTAAATAAAAGTGCTGTAGGAGATGAATTTTCATCTATAGTGAATGTTATTGTGCCTTCAGTTGATGGACGTTTCTTCCTCGCTCTTTCTGATTCTACTAAACTTTCCTGTGAAGTAGTAAAAATTGACCACCTTTTCTTATGTTTTGATGTTATGCTATTTTTACTTGAAACCATAACCGCTAAATTATCTTGCGTTTCATTTGAAGAAATATTATTTTCTTCTGGTAAAATTGTTCTTGCGTTAATACTTTCTCTAGGATCCTTTGTCACGTTTGCTCCTACTATATCTACATGAATTGAATCTTTTTTTCGCCTGCAATTATTAAAAACTATTAGCAAAACTATTAAATATAATATTTATTAAATAAAAAAAGGAAGGAAAAATGTATATACTTTTACCTTGTAATAAATCCATAAAATGGGTTAAAACAATTCAGTTTCCACCAAAAACATGCTTGTTTATATTGCTTTAAAGATGAGTCATTTGTCGAAAATATGAAAAACGCTAATATAAATGTTGCCATACAAATTCCAGCTGTTAAATAATCCGAAAATAACGCATCTTCCTTATTTAAAATTTTATTTCCTTTCCAATAATCAAAAAATTTAATTAGACCATAAATACTATGTGGTACATTTATTGCTGAATATATGATACAATATAAAGCCATTCTCTCATTAGATATCCTATTAGAACTTTGAAATGTCGATGGCGATAAATCAGATGGAGAACCGTCCGGAGCCGGTGATGTTGCCGAAGTTGGTGAAGTTGAACGAGGTACAATTTCATTCGAGTATTCCTTGGAGGTGCGATTTCGCGACAACATCGTTGATTGACTTCGAGATTCCTGATTCTTAATGCGAGATTTAATTGCCATAACCAAAGAAGGAAAAATGGCGGCACCTGATTTTCATAAAAAACGCGTTAACTAATTAATCTTGGTATTGCGAATTATAAAAAAATAAAAAAAATAAATATAATAAATAAATATATATATATATATATATTCTCCCAAGTATTCTTTTTCAGACAAGTATTAAATAATGAAAAATCAAAATCTCGGTACGATTGAAAATTAAAACGAACTTTCTTGAAGAAATGTACCATTTCTATTATAAAATGTCGCGTCAATTGGGATAATTCAATTTTTCTTGTAATCACCTGTCGCGCAAAAAAAAACAAAATTCGTTCTGTACTTTCAATCGTACTAACTTAATTGATCACATGGTAGAATTATTACAATTGATACCTACATGCTATCGATGCTCCGGGAATTGAAATAAACCAAAGAGGAATCGCTCTTACGAATAATACGCCCCAACGGTTTCCTCCCATTCTAACATTACACCATCCACTTTTCTCTATATGAATAATTCGAATATCTTCAATTAACATTAAAATTATATTTATTACTATGAATAGGGTAGGTTGAATACAACAATAAAAGATAATGATAGATTTCAATATGAAACTATCTTTTATTGCTCCATCTTTGATTCTAAACGTAATAAAAAGATCAATTGATAAGGCGAATACTATAGATAAAATAGCCATTGATTGTATTGCAAACAATATTCCTGTGACGTGACAAATGACGACTTCTTTTTCATTCAAATTTTCAAATGTTTTATCTTCTGGAAGTGAGATGGCAGCAATAAGAAAAGAAAGACTAAATAAAATTCCCGTGATACCAAGACAAGTAAGGATAAAGTAGCGCCTCTTAGCTTGGAAATACGTACTGGCACTCGACAGTAAGAAAACTATAATACACAACGTCAGGAACCAAAATGGCATAATGCAAGCAATTCAATTTGAAAAAAAAAGAACAAATTTATTAATTTTTTTTTTTTTTACAGTGAATGAAAAGAATTATTATTATGATTATTATTTGATTATATATCCCTTTCAGAATTTTCTTCCTTCACCTTGTCTCGTTATTGCCTGAAAGGGCAACATGAGAAAAATTAAAGAAGGAAAATAAAAAAAAAAAAAAATAGAGGAAGGGAGAGAAGGAGGTTAGAGAGTTACGGATGATTCAATTGAAATATAAGTATATTCTTTGATCACAGATCTCTAAAGATGGTAATTAACTAAACACAAGTTTTTTAGATAACATTTTGTGAATTTTCATTGTCCGAGTATCCATGGATTGGTGCGTAAAGTAGAAAGAATGTGTCACCTCAATGCATTTTCATGCATCATACTATTAATAAATTAAATTAAATTTACTGGTTGTGAATCAAGACAATTGAATTTGATCGCACAATATATATATTTATAGTATGAATAAATTGCCTCGTACGATATAAAATTTAAAACTTTACGGGGCGAACTTTAATTAATTCTCTAAGAATGTCTTTAGAAGGATTTTGGTGCAACAATTCATGTCGGATCATTATCTAAGCGTTTTCTTTTATCAAACGCCCCATAACGCGACCCCACGCCAATTACTTAAAAGAGTAACGACGCCGCAGTTAACAAAAAAATTAAAAAAAGTTAAAACTGACATAATCCATACTAAAATCTCGAAATCTCTATATAAAGTAAATAAGTATTTAAAAAATTGGATATTTTCCCCAGGAAGACATTTGTTCTATTATTTTACATAAAAAAACAATTGGAAGCGTTAAACAAACAAACAAACAAAGCGAGGTTTACCACATACACAGTTTCCCGCAGCTATTGGCTCGGGGTTATTGTCTCAACCGATCCGATATTTTCGAAAATTGATGAACACAGTTAAACATTCGAAATCTAAAATCCCGGGACTGTCCAATAAGGAAGATCGAAAGCACGTGCTTGATTAGAATTTGGCCTCGACAATCAGAAGCGCACAATAGGTTTCTCGAGATTACCATAAAGATCGATCAAGTAATTAATGGATTTACTAACATTTGATACTATTGTGACGATCCGTTTGTTAAAATTTACAACTTTTTAAGGTATGTGTTAAAAACGTTAAAAAAGGAAAATAAATATTTATTATTAATAGAAAACGACGGATTTCCCTATTTCGGCGGATAACGATGCATGTACTCTGAACAGGTTTGTTTAATAATAGTAACGTTTCGGAGACAATGAATCTGTATAATTATAAAATTATTATTCTATTCGAAAAAATTGGAAGCTTCTCAACATAAAATAAAACCCGCGTTTTATTTTTACACCAAAAATAAAATAATAAATTGTTTATCTTTAATCGCGTTTTAATATAACTTTTTGGGAACAAGATAGGAATAATCCGTAAAAAAAAAATTGAATGATTTGATGGTAAAATGTATTATTAATATCTCAGGGGGATAAATTTTTTCGTAGAACTTGAAAATCAACTAAAAACTTCTAATTAATCTGGTTAATTATGTCAAGTAAAACTTGTTCGGCATAACAAATTACGTATTGTGAGAAATTATTGTTTTTAATGCATTAAATAACTTGTTCTTTCAAAACATATTCTTATTAAATATACAGAAAAAAGATAATCATATGAACTAATAATTTCACTCATCGTTAAATTCGCTAATATAAAATATTATCATAATTAACCTCCATCTTAAATTAGAATACCAAAATAATGATAAAGGATTGGTGATCATGCCATTACCTGGAACATGCGGCGTAGTATATTATACAAGAATAGCAATTGATTACTTTACAAGTACCATTCGAAACAAGTTAATTCAAAATGAGATTTATAGTTCTAAATGCGGTTATTGTGTCGAGATAAAGGAGTAGAAATTGTAAAATGGAGCTCGAGGATTCATGCATGAATAATAGCTAAATAATGAAATACTTTATTATTATTATTTTTTTTATTTTTTTATTTTTATTTTTTTTTTCTTTTTGTACAATTGAAAAGATGTTTCTTAAAAAAAATTTACGTTACAATGATCACGTATTAAACATGCGAGTTTCTATGGAAATTAAAAAGAAAAATAAATTACAACTATATTAAAATTTTATCTCAAATCAACAGAAAGAAGAAATAGGCTAAATAAATCTATAAAGATTAATAAAGGAAAATTCTAAAATTTTTGACTTGCACCCCATTTCTTCAATCTTATACTTTGAATCTTAATGAATCCTTCAGAATCAACTGGGCTGAATCCACCTTGAACATCCATAGAACTTTCTTCCATGTCGTATAATTTTTCAGTATCAGATTTACGACCTTCAACAATCACATTTCCTTTGTAAAGCTTCAATTTAACTTCACCATTAACAGATTTTTGACTACTTATAAGAGATGCAGATAAGAATTCCCGTTCAGGAGAAAAGTATTGACCATTATATAAAATTTGAGAGAATTGTGGTGTAACGAATTGATCTCTCAATGCTCGTACTTGACGATCAAGGACCAACCCTTCCAAATCTACATGGGCTGCTCGGAGGATGGTACCTCCGGGAGTTTCATAACAACCTCGACTCTTGATACCGATGAATCGATTTTCAACAATATCAATACGACCAATACCATTTCTTCGTGCAATCGTATTAAGGTGGATAAAAAGATCGAGAGAATCGGTTATAGTGGTATTTTCATTATGATTTTCGACTTTGGTAGGTATACCATGTTTGAATGTGATGGTGATGCGTTCAGGAGTGTTTGGTGCTTCTTCGGGATCTACGGTTAACTTCCACATATCTTTTGGTGGTGTAACATCAGGATCTTCTAAAATACCAGCTTCATAGGAGATATGGAATCTAAATATAAGAACAAAAAAAAAATTCGAATCAGAAATACGAGAAATAAAATTATTTTAAATTCCTCAATGCTAAATTAAGGACTTACAAATTTTCATCTGTCGACCATGGTTTTGATTTAGTTTGAACAACTGGTACGTTCTTTTCAGCTGCATAATCTAAAAGACTTTGTCGACCAGGGAAACGAGTATAAAATTCTTTATTTAGGTTAATCGTAAAAAAAAAAAATAATTACATTAGTTTTTTTTCTTTAGATATCAAGGAAACGTGTTGCATAAATTCATTAAATTATTTACCAGGGATACGCCATGGAGCAATGACTTTAATATCTGGTTTCAAAGCATAGTAAGCCAATTCAAAACGAACTTGATCGTTACCCTTGCCGGTACATCCGTGGGAAACGAATTGGCAATTTTCTTTAGCAGCAATTTCAATCTACAGGTAGATATAATTGAATTTGTTATCACTTGTCGATTTTATTAAAACAAAAATCGAGGATAAAATAATTACCTGACGGCGGGCAATAACAGGACGAGCGAGAGAAGTACCCAAAAGATAAACATTCTAATAATAAATAGTTCGTTAGTAAGTGATAAGATTAGATGAAACATGATTCTTTTTATTTTTTAATTTTGGTAACATTAATAATATACCTCATAAATTGCATTAGCTTGAATAGCAGGGAAAATAAGTTCATCGACATAAGAGCGTCTTAAGTCCTATATAAATTATCATTATAATTTAATTCTAAAAAAAAAAATCATTGATCTATATTTTATTTATCGTGATTTTTTTACCTCAATAAAAACTTTCTTGGCACCAATCTTTAAAGCTTTTTCTTTAGCTTCTTCAAAATCTTCTTCTTGACCAACATCGGCCATATAAGCAAGGACATCATATCCTTGTTCAATGAGCCAAACAAGGATACAAGAAGTATCCAAACCACCAGAATAAGCTAGAAGAACACGACCTTTTGACATTTTTTTTATAAATTATAAGATGTTATTGATAAATGTGATATTAAAGGAATTATGGAAGGAATGAATTTCAATCAATCAAATATTTTCTTTCTTTTATATCTTTTTTTTTATATTTCGTTTTAAAAAAGATGGATAGCCGCAAAATGCGCAAAATGCCGATGATAATTTTTTGGCGATATCTGTGCGATAATCATGCGTGGCAATTATTCACGTTTGTGATAGTAGATCTGATCTTTGCGTATGTGATTACACGATTATCAACAATTGTAAACGCTCGAGATTATCAAAAATAGAAATGATGTTAATTGCGATCAGATCATTATTAGTATATCAAATCAGATGGATTTTTTGGATCTTTGGCTTCAATAATTGAATCAATTGAATCGATCTTTGGATTTTTTTAAAAATCTAATTGTCCATTTATGGTTTTTATTAGCAACCGTCTAATCTTTTTTTTATTTTCGGAAACCATAGAGTAATTATTATTATGGAGCGAGATTTTTTTAACCTAAATTTATAAGGTTACTAAAGTTTTTAGTTTAAATTCGTGAACGTTAATCTACGTAAAATGTAAGAAATATATTGTTACTAGTGTGAGGGCAGATAACTTTCTCAGAACCCGATTTTATCTAGCATCTTTCCAAATGATATTATCCCTATTCGTTATTAGGTAATTAATAATCATAGACAAATGTCTTTTTATATTATTATTAATTTTAAATCAGAAAATATAAATCTAATATCATCAAGACTAAGACTTTATAAAACATTGTTATTTTTGTTGGATTAAAATGTTTTATATATGCTAATTCTTAATGACCATTAGGGTTAATTACTCAAATAGGTAAGTTTAGTAATATTTATTAATGTAATGCTTAATAAAATACTGCGCTACGACCTTGTAACACTTTCGATACCTATATCTGGTTAGTTACATTTTAAGTTGAGGCAATTTTAAAATATGAGAATAAGTGCTGGGAAAATGGACCAAATCTACAACCAATGAAATAATAACCTTTTACCTTTTCGTTTATTTTTTATTTTTACTTGAAGTTTATTTCTTTTTTACTTAGGTTATATTTTGGGTTTTAACTTTTTCAATTGGATTTCATT